TGCTTTCTTACCTTCGCATTTCACATTTCTTTTTTCTTTTTATTCTCCATCTCCCCCGCCCCCTACGCACACATTCATTCTTTTCATCCATTTGCAAACGGTCTTTGTTTTTTTTTTGTTTTTTTTTTGTCATAATTTTCTTCTCCATTTCCGCGACTATTGTCGTCTGGAAAATTGAAATTTCTGATCTTTTAGCGACTTCGTGATATTTTCAAATAGGAAAGGATACAAAGTCATTAACTACGCATGCGTGTCTAGACGCAGATGGTGAATTAGCTGCGTGGTCTGAGCCGTAAATTGTTCACTTTGAGTTTTCTTTCATGAGTTCGTGAGCGTGCATCATAGATAAATAGATGGAATTTGACACCTGTACTCACTCACACACAAACACAATCGTATGAAAACATACACACACACATATATAAAATAACTTCGGTAGATTTTAAAATGAGATAAATGCAATACTTGTTAGAATCTTTTCTTTCTTCATCGGCTCCCTGATTTTCTCTTCCTATGATTCTTTCTTTCTTTCTTTCTTTCTTTCTTTCGTTCTTTCTTTCGTTCGAAGTTATTCTACTTTCTTTCATTCTCTCTTTCTAACTTTTTTTCTCTGAATCTTCTTCCTCTTCCTTTTTTTAATACTTTATTTCTTTCCTTTCTCAGATCTTTCGTAGTTATAGCTCTTTCTCTCTTTCTTTATCACTTCTTTTGAAATTATTCATCTTTCTTTCTGTCTCTATATCATCTCTAGCTTTGTGTGTTTGTTTGTTTCTTTCTTTGTTCCTTTATTTCATTGATTCTTTCTTTCTCAGATATTTAGATGTTGTTTTTCTTTCTTTCTTTCTTTCATTCCTTTTCTTTATTTCTTTTTCTTTCTTTCTTTCATTCTTTCTTTCTTTATTTGTGTCATCTCTAGCATTGGTCCGTCCTTTCTTTGTCTTTTCCTTTATTTGATTAATTCTTTCTTTCTCAGATATTTTGAGGTTGTATATCTTTCTTTTTCTTTCTTTCTTTTTCTCTCTCTCTTTCTTTCTTTATCATTTTCTTTGAAATTATTAATCTTTCTTTCTGTCTCTGGATCATCTCTAGCTTTGTTTGTTTGTTTGTTTGTTTGTTCCTTTAATTGATTGATTCTTTCTTTCTCAGATATTTAGAGGTTGTTTTTCTTTTATTCATTCTTTTTCTTTCTTTCTTTTTCTTTCTTTCTTTCTTTCTTTATTTGCATCATCTCTAGCATTGTATCTTTCTTTCTTTGTCTTTTCCTGTATCTGATTGATTTTTTTCTATTTCTCTCTCTCTTTTTCACTTATTTAGAGGTCATGTTTCTTTCTTTTTTCTTTCTGTCTTTCTTTCTCTCTTTCTTTCTCGGATATTTAGAAATTATGTTTCTTTCTTTCTTTCTTTCTTAGTATCATCTCTAGTATTGTTTCTTTATTCTGTTCCTTTATTTGATTGATTCTTTTTCTCTCTCCTTTTTTCTCACATATTTATATTTTATATTTCTTTCTTTCTTTCTTTCTTTCGTTCTGTTATGGGAACTTACCCATAATAATAATGGACTATTCCTGACATTATAAATACTGCGCCTCTCAAGAGGTATGAGGAGATTGTAAGACGAGGTAAGGACATTGAAATAGTGATACTTGCCGAGACAACATAGTACATTCTAACCAAATCTGATAGTCATTACTAATACTTCTACTTCTTTGTATTATATTTCTGTTGTAATATATCTTTGTATTCCATACCTGTGCTCGTGTTATTCTTTCATTGGTCCATCACCGTGGTACAAACCTTAGATCATCACCGTGGTACAAACCTTGGACCATCACCGCGGTACAAAGAACTTGGACCATCACCGTGGTACAAACCTTGCACCATCACCGTGGTACAAACCTTGGACCATCACCGCGGTACAAAGAACTTGGACCATCACCGTGGTACAAACCTTGCACCATCACCGTGGTACAAACCTTGGACCATCACCGTGGTACAAAGAACTTGGACCATCACCGTGGTACAAACCTTGCACCATCACCGTGGTACAAACCGGACCATCACCGCGGTACAAAGAACTTGGACCATCACCGTGGTACAAACCGGACCATCACCGTGGTACAAAGAACAGACCATCACCGTGGTACAAACCTTGCACCATCACCGTGGTACAAACCTTGGACCATCACCGCGGTACAAAGAACTTGGACCATCACCGTGGTACAAACCTTGCACCATCACCGTGGTACAAACCTTGGACCATCACCGTGGTACAAAGAACTTGGACCATCACCGTGGTACAAACCTTGCACCATGACCGTGGTACAAACCTTGGACCATCACCGTGGTACAAACCTTGGACCATCACCGCGGTACAAAGAACTTGGACCATAACACTTTCTTTCTTTGTTTTGTTGGTTTTCATTCAAAACCTGTTCTTCATTCTTGTTTTTCTTTGTTTGATTCTTTCTTTCTTTCTTTTCTGTCTTTTCTCCTTATATGATTGTATGTTAGCTCCCTTATCCCTCTTTTCTCCATCTTTTCTATCTTCCGTTATCCCATCAGAAAGATTTTGTTGTATCAATATTTTAACTGTAAACAGTCACCTACGAGATAAATAGTGTCTAAATCGACTAATTTGGATTCTCTCATCAGTAGCTAATATAACCAAATATGCAACTACCTCAGACACCAAGCATATGTATAGATAGATCGAGAATGTATTTAGCACATTAATAAAAAAAATCGATGCATAAACAGATATGTGGATGATAGCTACAAAGGACAGTGATTTGAGGAGAACCATAATCGCCCACGTCCTAAAGGGACACCACACGAAGAAGAAGAAGAAGAAGAAGAAGAAGAAGAAGAAGAAGAAGAAGAAGAAGAAGAAAAGAAAAAAGAAGAAGAAGGTGGTAGAAGAAGAAGAAGAAGAAGAAATTAGTAGAAGATGAAGAAAACAAAGAAAAATTATGGGTAGTGTATTTGCTATTAGTAGAAGAAGAAACAAAGAAATGAAACAAACAGCGATAGTCGTAGTATTAGTGGTATTAGAAGAAGAAGAAGAAGAAGAAGAAGAAGAAGAAAGAAAGAAAGAAAGAAAGAAAGAAATTAAACATATAGTGGTAGTAGTAGTAGTAGTATTAGTGATATTAGAAGAAGAAAAAGAAAAATGGAATAGATGGTGGTGGTAGAAGTATAAGTGGTATTAAAAGAAAGAACTGAACATATGGTGGTATTAATAATAATAATAATAGTTATAGAAAAAGAAGAAACCTTAGCGAAAATCGTCAATGGACCTGTGGCCAGCTACTGCGGAATTCACCACAAAGGGACATAACTCCCGACCTGAACGTTAAGAACCAACGCCTGGCCGTGGGTTCACTCACAGCACTGTCCACTAAGGGCCTTGACGTATTCGGCAACTTGATGACACTGCGGACAAGCCCACCTTAAAGACATAAAGCAGACAGTCCCTAACGAGCTGCTGCGACACTGACACGTATTTCATCGCCGCTGCTCGAGTTATCACTGAATTGTGTGCGCAAAGCCTCTGCCATGGGCAAGGGCAATGACCCTGCCCCCAACTTCCAGCGCTTTCCCGCACTCGTTTGCATATCTGTGATCAACTCTTACTACACGATGTAAAAAAAAAACCAAAACGGAAATGGCTTTTTTTGCTTACCTTAGAAACATTTAGAAATCTAACATGTTTCGCTTTTATTAAAGCTTCATCAGAGAATGACATATGTGAAAAATCTGGTAATTTTATTTTTGCGTTGTTTAATTTACATTGGTTAAGTAGGCTTCATGTGCATTTGATTACTCAAGCAGCTTTCGTGTGTATAATTTTTGTATATAAGTGTATCATAATTCTAGTTTATATATGCTTCATTCGAATGATAATATATATATATATATATATATTTGTTTGTGTGTGTGTGTGTATGTGTGCGTGTGTGTGTGTGTGTGTAATAAACACTTGATGTATCATCTATCTTACTTATTGTTGCTGTTGGAATTGCTCAGTTGCTGTAGTTCCCGTTGTTTGGGAGAGGTGCTTCTTTGGAATTCTTTAACACCAGTTCACGTGGATCGAAGAAAGACATGGAGCATACCAGGTGGTTATCAAAAAGTTCTGTAGCGCACAACAGATGGCAACAGACAGTTGCGCGCGCAATGAGCGCTAACAGAGACCTTCACGCGCCAGTGTGCCGAATGACATTGCTGTTTTCACATTGGAAGTTGTGAAATTTGTGATCACATGTATGTTGTAGCCTGCGATTTTGTGATGCCAGATCATGCTTATCTTTTTTTTTCTTGTTTGATATCAACGGCGAGACCGTCAATCGAGAGTTCTACTTCAACGTTTTGTGGACTTTGAGGGAGAATGTTTGGCGAAATTGACCGGGTCTATGGGAGCACGAAGGACTGGATTCTTCAAGACGACAATGCACGCTGTCACAGAGCTCACGTTACTCGTAAGTTTCTAGCCAAAAACAACATATAACGCTTACGAACTTGACGTATTTAGCACCTGTGGACTTCCATCTTTTCTGAAAATGTAGCTCAAAGGTCGCCGTTTTCTCGTCGTTACCGAAATCTAGACCGAATCGCAGAAGGTCCCCGACTAGCTTACGGTAAACGAATTCCAGGCCAGATTCCTAAAATGGCAGGAACGTTGGGACAAGTGTATTACTGTGCAAAGTAACTATTTCGAAGAAGATGATGTTAAAATTTAGGTATATTTATATATATATATATATATATCTTACTTATTATAAAACGCAGATTGTGTGTGTGTGTGTGTGTGTGTGTGAGTGTCTGTAACGTTTATATATTGGATCGGATTTCCTACATTTTTCAACCGATTTCAACAAAACTTCACAGGACTACATAAAATTACCTTGTGGTGGTTCTAACAGCGCCAAAAATGGGAAAAATATAATTGTTTTTGCACAAATCAATTTGAAAACACGATTAAGAGATATCCTGAAAATGGAAGGGGGACAACTCACACCGGTTTGTTTGTGTGTGTGGGTTCTTTTAAATATGGGACCGGATTTCCTATATTTTTCAGCCGATAAAACAAAACTTCACTTTGGGGGGGGGCAGGTAGTGTTTCTTATTCTCTTGCACACTTTTTTCTTTATTTTTACATTCAGAATGCTTTAAAAATTCCATTTACAAGACAATTGTTTATAATAAAATTCTATTCAATCGGTAGACTCATAATGATTGAAAACAATGTTTTTGTTTGAGTTTGGGTTTGAGTCTTTATGATGGTCGATACTTGATCTATCTCTTACTGTTACATCCCCGGGAAACGCCGGGCTCTACTGCTAGTATATATATAAAAGTGAACATAGAAGTCAACACTTAGAGGCGACAGTCTGTTTCATGCTATATGCAATCGTCCAGGCCACGTCAGGCAATCGTCAGGCAACGTGGCCTGACGATTACATACAGTATGCCTCTAAAGTGTTGACTTTTATGTTCCTTTTATATTTACACACGCTCTATCTCTGATATTGAGCACTTTATCCCATAAATATAGCACACCTTAAGACTATATTTCTTCATATATATATATATATATATATATATATATATATATATATATATATATATATATATATATATATATATATATATATATATATGTATTAAAACAAGGATGGCCAACCTGTGGCGCATTGGATGCATAAAAGTGGTGCATTGCATCCTTTTGATGAAAAGAAACTAAGGCACTTCTACTCTTTCACTTCAGTGAGTTTATATTTATTGCACGTCCTTTGCAAAACTTTCAAAACTCCTTGGTACGCCTCTCGTAATAAGCATATATATTTTCAAATAAGTAGATTTGATTATAACTTTAAAATATGTCCATATTACAACACGTACTGAAAGGAAGTGAATGTTTGTGTGGTGCATTTAAATTAATCGTACAAAATATTGGCGCATGGAATCAAAAGGTTGGCCACCCCTGTATTGAAACATAACTTCTCCGGGAAAATTCTGAGACCACCTCGTGCAGGTTTCATTCGCTCGAAGGAATGTTTAAACATTTATTTAGGAAAGCGACGGTATACACTTGGGAGTTTAGAATGTTCTGAATGAATGTCATCCATTTTGAAAGTCTACATCTGACGAGGGTATCAAAGAACAAGACTTGAGCTTATAGAAAAATAAAAGAAGGGCTATGTTGGGGCTGGTGGAAGCATTTAACGTAAATCAGACTGTTTCCTTAACAATCAAGGGGGAACAAACAAGAAATTGAATTAAGGATAAAAGTTGACTGGAAAGCTACTAGCCGGAATTGAGTTCCACAAGCGTGAAGAGACTGTTATCATAATGAACTTACGGTTTCAACTGTAAAATGATGTGACCTAGTCGCCAATCTAGTATTGCG